ATGGAACCGAAGGAAGCAGCTACTATAGTTGGCTTTTGACTAAGTGCCAGCCGAGCACTCTGACTTTTCTAAGTGCAACTACTCTTTGAATTAAATTATTTCCCCAGTAATTTAGCAGCATGAGCATTTAGGGAAAAATGTTCTCTAAAATAACTGTTATTATGTATGTCTATACAAATGGTGAGTCAATATGACACAGGATTTTACTGAAGTTTGAAGTATTGATTAAGGTTCAGAAGAATCATAGAGGAAATAACAATTAAATTCAAAGAATACAGACAGGCTTATTTTCTTCCCTGGTTTTCTTGTAGTTAATGCCAAATAATTTTGAGTCTGTGGAATTCCATTAATTTCTAAAAATGTCTTTTATAATAGCCTCCAACTTGGGAAAAATATCAGTGGAATTCTTATTGTCTTCTTCCCTTCAATTCAGTCCATAAGGGAAAATGCAACTGATTTCTCTATTTGTATTCTTTTGCTTTATCCTTTAAATATTTTTAAGAGTATACTTCCATTCCTTAATTCTTGGTAAAATATTGTCATAGGAAATATTTTCACTTAGATGTTATACTATATGTTAGTTTAGGTATTAATCATGGCTACATTTCTCATCTTTTCAACTTCAAAAAATTCAGATCCAGGAAGTCTTGATATCAAAACTGTGTTAGTCAGCTTTTCATTGCTGAGACCAAAATACCTGACAAGAACAACATAGAGGAGGCTCACAATTTCAGAGGTCTAAGTCCATGGTCTGCTGATTCCATTGCAGAAACATCATGGAGGAATGTTATAGTGAAGGAAAACTGCTCACCTCAAGGCAGCCAGTGAGCAGAGAGAGGCCAGGGACATAAAGCCTTCCAGGGCACCTTCACAGTTATCTACTTTTTCCAACTAGGTCCTACCTCCCAGAGGTCCATTCTAATGTCAATGGATTAATTCATTAAATGGATTAATGTACTGATGAACTCAGAGTCTCTAAAGTCCCATTGCTCTCCAAAAGCTCCATCTTTGAACCTTGCTACATTGGGGACTATAATTTCAATACATGAGCTTGGGGAGACATTCCAGATCCAAATTATGACAAAACTTTTATGAAGTTCATGGAGCTGTGAGAAAGGTTATTAAGGGACTGCAGATACTTTCAAATATCACTAAATTTTAGGAATCTTTCATCATTTGTCATCTTGGATTTTAATAAATACATCAGAAACAATTAATTTAATTGTAAAAAGTACATATAGCACCAAATACTTTTTTGACAAATAAGTCCACATGTCCATGGACTTATACATACTTACAGATACATAAATGGATACGTGATAAAAAGGTTGTGTATGAGAGATTAATAGCAATATGATTTTAAATATTATATATTTTCCCCTTCAAATTAGTTTTCTGAATTTCTCCATCATTAATGGAACATCCATTTACCCTATGCTTAGGCTTCCTAGTTTTTAAGTAACAATAGGTTTCATTTCATCTACTCCCCATATCTATCTGCCCACATTAGTGCTGTGTGTGTGTGTGTATGTGTGTGTGTGTATGTGAGAGAGAGAGACAGAGAGACAGAGAGAGACAGAGAGGAGCAGGAGAGAGGTTTTCTAACTTCAGTGCCCTTAGAATCCCTTAAAATCCTGTTAACAGATTAATTGTTAGACAATATCTCCAGAGGTTCTGATTAAGGCATGAGGTGAAGCTTGAGGATGTGCTCTCTAAACAAATTCCCATTTGATGATGCTAATGCAGAACCAGGGCTCAACTCTGGGAACCACTGTTTTTATAAGCATGACCATGACTGCAGTTTTGGCCATTGTGAGCTTGTAGTTGTTACCTGCCTACTTTTCTTGCCTCTCTCCACCACTCTCACTCCAAATGAATACAATTGTTTTCAGCCATTGTTTCAAAATGCTGTTTATAATGTTTCCGCTCTCTTCAAATGCTTCTGTCCTTAATTTCAATTCATTCAGAAATTATTTTTTGAATGCCCATTATATACTAGACACTAATCTCAACAGTGAGACTATAATACATTTTATTGAGTTTATATTTTAATGGGGTGATAAAAACACTTGTTCATTATATGGAATTCTAAATATGGAACCAATGTAGGAGAATATAAACTATTGGAATTAGTTTGAATCCTTGGGTAGAATAATTATGGAAAGGGGTACTGAGAAAGTGACACTTGATTAAAAACTATAAGGGAGAGAATTAGTGGCACTGGAGGCTGAGCAAATAAAGTGGTCCTGAAGTGGACCATAATGTTCCTGGAAAATCAAGAAAGGAAATTGTGTAAAATAACTCCTAAGTCTAATATTTAAAATTACTCATGGTCTTATCCTCCTTAATTAATACTTTATGGCAAGCAAAAGAGTCTACTTATGCCCAAAGATTCTGGAATTTCTTCTATACTCAAGATTTTTGTCATTCTCCTTGACTGTTATATTCTCCTTCCTTTATCTGGGTGAAAAGTCTCTACACCATCAAGTAAAATGCTATCATTGATGATGTGAAACTTACTCCATTCTCCTAATACATAATGAATCTTCTTTAAATTTCAACACCATTTCTTTCATATCACACAAACATGCACAACTTTATATGAACATATTGTATTCATATTTTTCTATCTCTTGATCTAAAATTATAAGCTGAAAAGTGAAGAGCTATCTTAATAGCTTTCTGTATCCTATAGCAACCAGAGTGCCTTGCAGTAAATTTTTAAAAAGGATTAGTCATGTTCGTAAGATTGAAAGCTCAGTAAAATTAGTGATTTAGTCTTTCATTTGACAAACATGCATTGAATGCTTCCTAAACATTGCACTAAGGATAGAGAAAAAGAGCACTGGATCTCCAGCAAGTGACAAAAAGACCATAATCCAGTGTAGAAAACCACCAGCAAATGCAAAAGTACATGCAAAATAATTGGGTACCTAGTTAGTGATATGCATCCGGTCTTTTATGTATTATACAGAGTTCTCTGAGAAGCAAACTTAATCCTGCCTTAATGTGCAAAGATGTTCTTAGAAGAAATGGCTGTGAAAGGACATGGGGAGGTGAGAAGCAATCAGATCAAGAAGCAAGTGTGATTCTTAGTGAAGATAGAAGGCAGTGTGAATGTATGTTTCCTAGACTGCTAGGCAGTCTACAGAAGATCCAGCAAAGCAGAAGGGTCACTGAGACAAAGTCAGACTTACAAAAGTTCCACGTCTCTGAGGATGGGTTTGCCTTAGTCTCACCACACACAGTCATTGACAAAAGTTAGCTTAAGAAGGGCTTAACCTTGGCATATGCAGCCATGCAGTTCAGAGCACAGCAGCTGGGTTCCTGGTCAATTATATTGCCTGTAGTGAGAGGCTTCTCAAGCACAGTTTAATGGCTGTCACCCTGTGGGAGCATCCTAGTTCAGCATGTGACTCAAACTGAGTCATAGGAGAACTTTCCAGAGTAAGCTACACTTGAGATGAATCAGAGATCTCAGGAATCAGTTCCAAGAAAAAGTGAGGCAGATCATAAAGCACCCCAATAAATGCTGGGATTTTTATCTTTAAGGAATGTCAGAGAAGAGTTTTCACTAGTGCAATTAACTTCATGACTATATGTCCTTAATGTTATTAAAAAAAAAAACAGAAAATAATCCTGCTGCCATTTCAGTGCCATTTCATGTCCAGCAGGTTTTAAATTTACAATGAAAAAACATATTTTGAAGAAAGCACATTAATTCTTTGTACAAAATGTTTCCTTAGTTTGATGAGTTTCACGTTAATTTGAAAGAATTAGTATCTAGTCCCTGTAAGAATCTAGAATTCTAGATGTCACAATAAAGCTTCTAAAAGAAGCCTTGGAATTGAAGAGTTGAGATTCTCTTGTATTACAGACTATATTGTTAAAATCAGTTACAAACATCTCCGAAGTGTTTATTGAGAGATATAGAGAAACTAATGTATAAGGGCTTCATCTAGGAGAGATATTGAGCAGGAGTAATTGAAAACCTACTGTGCATCCTTTGCCATTCCCTAAAGGACTTTGACAATGTTTGATATCTATCATCAGTAAATACAGTTAGGCATGGTTGGTTCTCCCATTGTCTGGATTTCTCCCCAAAAAACTTTCTATAGTGCCGGCTGCTTCCATTAGATGGTAGTAGAAATGGCTTTGAAATGCCGTTCAAAGATTATTTTTTGAATACTATTAACTTCAGATAAAAAATTTACATAATCCAAAAATTGTTTTTTTTTTCTTTATGAAACAATGTTTTATTTAAATAAAGATGGCCACTGGATACTTATCACAAGCTACCAGATCATCTTAGTAATTAAACTGGTGGATGAGAAAGACATGGCCACATTTTGAATAAAGCAAAGGCAAACTGGTTTCTATTAATTACATACATTCCAACAAATGAGCATCCATAAAATTGGCCTCCACACAGAATAATTGCTATGGGCTGTCTTTGAGAATTTGTAGTGATTTTGTACCGGAAGATGGGAAATATTTTACATTTTCTAACACCCAAGGACATTTGGCAACATCTGGAGACCCTTTTGATAGTCACATTTAGGGATTTGCTTCTCCACATAATACAAAGGGATTTTTCACCTGATCCACAACTCTAATGAATAAAACAGTGGACTAGTTGCATTAGTTTCAGTGATTAAAGGCTGGGGCCATATTGGGGGAAAATCCTATGTGTTTCTGTAAAAGAAAGTTGCTATCTTATCACCCCATATGACTCAAAGACTAGACCAGTCCCTACTCTTCTGTTGTGCTGCAAGAAGTTATTATACCCTACTTTATTAAATATTTACTACAACTGTATAGACACACACGTGCACACAAACACACACACATATAGCATCCTGATTTTGCAGATGAGGAAACTAAGGAAAAGTTTAAGTTTTTGCAGCTCATAAGCAGCATGGCTTAAAGATTTATATATATTCCAAACATTCTGATTTGGGTGGTTTTCCCCCTTGAGACTGTTATTGTTTTTTTTTTTTTAAATTTCCATCTTCATTTCAATGAACCCCTATGCCTTTTCTAATGAGAGCCCAATTATCTTCTAGGCACTAAATCTCATTGACTTTACTTTCACTGAGGTTTTCAATCCATTTGTGAGTGCTGAGACCATCCTCAGCAATGTGATAATCAGCTAGTCAGTCTCAATACCTGACTCAGCCTTGATTCTGTTCTCTTCTCATCCAAAGTGACTATTTTTACTCTCCATTTCTCCAAATCTAGCTTCTCTTTCTGTTATGAACTTTGACCAGACAAACTCCATTTTACCCCGAGACTCCATTTTATGTAAGAAATGTTTCTCCTTTGTGAAAATTCTGCCTCTGTAACCCACCTCCTGCTAAGCACACCCTGTTTGGCAACTCATATCTGCTGAAAAATATTTCTTTTATTCTTACATAATGTATTATTAAGGAATATTTTTGTGAGATGTTCCATTCATAGTTTCTTTTTTCTTGTGCATTGTACCCAGACTTGGGTCATTTTTACCAACTTTGCTTTCAAAAAGTATAACATTTGCTTGTGGTTTTTGGCTACAAAAGGTGTGCTCTAACTCCTCATAGGGGTTGAAGGTGCAGAGTTGATTTGGTCACTGCCCTTCAGCCCACTGGCAAATAAAGTTCCATGTCCTCCTTCAAGTGTGACCTGGTGATTTGTTTCAAATGCACTGCAACATCTTCAATACTTTTCTTGGATATCCTCACCTCTCTATACTCATATCATTCACTTCTTCAACTCTCCCTTCAATGCCTATAACAAAGAAGTCAATTTTAAAGTACTAGATTTGAGAAAGTTTTAGTCAGCATTTTTGCTGCTGTGACCAAAAGACCTAACAAGAATAATTAGAGGAGGAAAATTTTAATTTGGAGCTCATGGTTTCAGAGGTCTCAGTCCATAGACAGCTGGCTCTGTCCTTGGGACATGAGGTGAGGCAGAACAGTGTGATAGAAGTATGTGGTGGAGGACAGCAGCTTGGGACATGGAACCAGAAAACAGAAAAACTGTGCTCAACAAAGACAAAATATATACCCCCTAAGACATGCCCCCAATGACCCACCTCCTCCAGCTATACCTTATCTACTTTCAGTTACCACTCAGTTAATCCCTATCAGGGAATTAATGAACTGATTAGGTTAAGACTCTTCTACCCAATCATTCTTCTCAAAATCTTCTTGTATTGTCTCACACATGAGCTTTTGGGGGATACCTCACATCTAAACCATAACAATGAATCTTCCATATGTGGTGACCAAATAAAAAGTACTATTTAGGTCACAAAGATAACCAGGGAAAAAGTAAATGCTGAGAAAAACAATTTCGAATGGTGGGTAAAAACATATATTGAAGTAGTCTGTGATGGTTAAGTTTATAACAAATTGCCTAGGCGACAGTACCCAGATATTCTGTAAAACCACTATACATGTCTCTGTGAAGGTATATTTAGATTACATTAACATCTACGTACACAGAATTTAGGTAAAGAAGATTATTTTTCTTAATGTAAGTGGATTGCATCCAATCAGTCTAATGCCTTAAGAGAAAACAGACATGTTACCTAGGGAAGAGAGAACTCAACTTCTACACTGTCTTTCAACTCAATCTTTGATATCAGCTCTTTCCTGAGTCTTAAGCTGCATGTATCCCCTGCAGATTACAATCTTTCCAGGCCTTACAACAGTATAAGCCAATTCCTTAAATTCAACTTCTCTTTCTCTACATGCACATACCCTATTTTTTTTTTGGGGGGGTGGCTTTTGTTGTTGTTGTTGTTGTTTTTCCTGCTGCTGTTTTTTTGAGAACTGACTAATACAGGATCAGAAGAAAAATGGCTAAAATTCCTAGGAGAGATTACCTTCCAGGTCTCTGATGAAGTTGAAACTAGTTTAAGGGGTTTAGCAATGTCAAATGCTGCAGAAGGACCTATAGTTTGATACAGAGAAAAGACCCGTTAATAATTATCTTTCATCAATGGAACTTCAATAGAAGGAGTTACAGTATCATGCTGGAACAAAATTGTAATGATTTAAACAATGGGTGGATATGATGATTTGGAGATATTAGAATGGAAAGCCTTTCCAACATACTTGGTAATTTCAGAAGTTATCAAAGTAAAAGCCTTATTCCCTTGGCATAGTCTATCAGCTTCTAGGTGTTTATCACAGTTCTGCTGAGTCTCGCTTTCCCGACCCACCTACTTATTCTCTCAATCCTTATCTTCTTAAAGTACAGAACAATTATATCTCTCTGGTCCAAAAGCCTGTGACAGTCTCTATTTATTCAATTACCTATTATTTTCATTCTGGCTTCAAGGTCCTCTAGACTTTGGCCTGTTTCCTATATGCTCACTCCCACAAACCAAGATGATTTTTATTTTCTAGAATTTCTAAACATCCTCTTTGCTTTCTAACACATGCTTCTCCCTTAATCTCAAAACTCTGTACCCTGTAGTTTGGAATCATATTTAATTAGTACTCATCCTTATAAAGTTATCTCATGTGCCATCAACCTCTGAAAAGCTTTCCTTTGCTTCTTAACTGATTTTCTAAAGGCCGGTTTGTATATAGAAGAGATAGTAGAAATAATATTTTTAAAACATAGACATTTAGGGCTGGGGATGTGGCTCAAGTGGTAGCACGCTCGCCTGGCATGCGTGCGGCCCGGGTTCGATCCTCAGCACCACATACAAACAAATATGTTGTGTCTGCTGAAAACTAAAAAATAAATATTAAAAAATAAAATAAATCATAGACATTTGAAATTCCTAATATGAGAAATTTCTAGGTTTGGAATGATGAGTTTCACTCATGGGGAACCCAAGTTTCCTGGTTTACCAAAACCAGGGTGTGACTCATGTCCTTGAAGACCAAAATAGGCCTCTACTTATAGAATACACATCCTACACCAGCAGGGTAAAGAAAAGAGGGAGGACAAAGACACATTCTCTCTTAAATTACCTAGGAAAGCTTCCACATAATACTTTGACTTTCAATCTATTTGCCAGAATGTGTCCAATCAAAGGATGCCACCAATTTAATGTCAACTGGGAAATGTAAACTTCATTTCTGACAGTGTTTTAATGGGGGAGATTGGAAGTGGAACCAAGCAACTCACAGTCTCTGTCATTGCCCATATTCTGTGTTCTTAGACCTCGGTAACCTGATATTGTAACTCTTGGGTAAACCTTGGGTAATAATCATATCCCTGTTTATATCAAAAACTTGGAGAAGGTAGAGAGTGTATTAACTATTGTATCCACTGTTCTGTTCAACACAGTTGTTTGCAAATAAAAGTGTATTGGTATTTGAGATGATAAATAGTAATTTCATTCTTTCTGAATTCAGAAACAACTATGAGAAATATAGGAGGAACTGAGAACATCCAATTGGACTAAGAGGCACACTTCAGACTTAAGACCAGATGAGACTTGCTGTAACTTGACACACAAATTTACCTCTTTTTAAAGTGGCTTCTTTCTCTTTCCCTTCTTATATAGAGGATAAGAAAAGAGAGGGCTTATACTCCTTAAGGAAAACAAGTCAAGAGGGGAAGGCAGAGAAAAAGAGAGCCTCAGAATGAAAGTCCAGAGTTATGCATACTTTCCAGTCCTTTCTACCAACATAAGTTATTTCTTATGCTGTGGTTTGTACAATGAATGAGTAGAGGGAAGACCCAGAAGTGATTTTTCAATATCTTACCTCTGGGGAAATGGAATGAAACTCTACTTAGGCAGGAAGGGTAGGACAGTAAGTCTTTTTATTCACATGGTACATGCATGGTACACATTTATCAAAGTCATTGACCTGAGTGCTTCAATACTTTATGTCTAATGACTCATCACATGTTTTATGGTAATTTTAATAGCAGATTAGAATCGTATGGGTTTATCAACTCATCTATATAAGATCTAATCATAATTTATAGTGATTTCATAAGTGGAGTTAATTTTTTTTCACTTAAAACATATAATTTACCTAGAATGTTCCAAAGCAAATCAAACAATTATTATCACATACAAACCTACTGTTTCTTCTTTATTTGGTTGTTAGTAGGAACTCCTTAATTACAAATTACAAAATAGCAGAATAGAAATTTGTGGAATAGAGATTGTGTTTAGTGATACCAGTGAGCCTGCTCACACAGAAGAGTCAACCATTAGGTGTTTGAATTAACCCGTTATTTCCAAACATTTGTTTGAATACTCTGTTGTAGTTTTTATCAAATTTTATCATTGTCTGTTCTTTATATTTCTGTCTCACCTGCTGGATTACAATTTGCTTTAATGAGAATCTGGGTCCTAATTAAATCCAGCATTTCTGTAACAAGTCACTGTTTTCCCAGCACATGACTTATTATCACCCAATACAAGATCAATGAACATTACTTTTTTTTTTTTAGATAAAGAAAATAATATATATCTCCTACAGTTTTCATGTAGGAAACTGGTAGTTCCTATTTACATACTTGTTTACTTACTTATTTATTTGTAGACAAGAATGGAAAATATAAGAAGGAAAAACTAATTGTTTCCAAATATGGTGTTTTGAATTTATTTAGGTTTTACTGTGTTAGGGAAGTTTGAGAGAAAAACATAAATTGCTAGTGTACTGAAAAACACTCTATAATTGTAAAGAAAGAAATTATAAGTACTAAACCAAGTGTGTGGGTGCTGAAAGTGATAGATCCCTGCACACATCTTGGAGAGTACTGTAATCACAAGTTTAATATAGATGCTTGTATTTGGCCATTATCAAGGAATCTCATTACTTTAAGTCATTCCAAATATATAATGAAATTTTGTTGATTCAACACATCTTGATTGAGGACTTCCTCTGAACCAGTTCTTGGTGTTGAGGATACAGTGCTAAAACAGAAAAAAAAATCAGGCTTCCCATAGAGATTGTGTTTAGTGATACCAGTGAGTCTGCACACATAAAGATAGTTACTGACACTTGGGAAATATAAAACAAAACATGCTGATTCTTTATTGCAAACCTTTCTTCCTGTATCTTTTTTTTAATAGCCAGATTTCATGTAAACTTTTTAAAGATGAATTATCCCACAATATATTAAATTCTACCAAGCCCTCATTCACATTTTCTATGAAATAGATGGTAGCTGTTTTATAAATTATAAATCATCATGTACACAGTCCTAATGAGATAACAAAAGAAAAGATGGGATATTTTTGTTCATTAACTCCTACCCTGACTTCTTGGGTTCATCACAGTTGAAATCAGCCTTTACCTAATTATTCCTTCTCAGTTCTTGAGTCAATTCTGAGTAGACAAAAGGAAATCTGCAGCCTCTTTCAACCAGAGAATATGGCCTGGACTTAAGTCTTTCTTTAATAAAACCAACAGACTGGAGTAAGTTCTGGCTACTTAGGGAACTGAACGTAGAGCATCCCATAAGTCCCTGGACTTTCTTTTCTTTTTCCTCTTTCTTTCCTTCACCAACAGATTGAACACATTCAATATGGCAAATATTTTCCTTCATATCTTCTAGATAATACTTCAATGATACGCTAACAATAGAAATCTTTTCTAAAACTATTTAACTGGAATAAACTACTACCCCAATAAACTGAATCCACTTCCCCATAATTCAACACCTGCATGGACCCTTCTTGTCAAATTTACCACTGACTGAATTTTGTCTGTATTATGAAAACCTATTAATACTGGCTAATAAACCCTTTTTCATGTATTTAAACTGGCCAAATCCAGGCCTCTAATTTTATCCTTTTGGACTTTTCTTCCCATTAAATAACCAGCCCTTCAGCAAGCTGGGTATAGGAAGACATTTATTTTAAGATATTGTACAACCATGACAATCTCCACACTGATCAATTATTGAAAACTCAGCATGTCTGAGCATGTTCAAAGTATGATGATATCTAAAGAAATATTTAATTTTACACTGTGTACCCTAAAAGAATATGGAAGTAATGTATGCAAGGATGGATAAAAACAGTCTTGATGGTACAAAATATGTTTTCTGACATTGACTAACAACTATGAAAAATCAGAGTTGTTATTTATGCTTTTAGACATACTGCTTGAGTTAAGCAAATTTCAACTAGTTCTGCATTAGTCAGACCTCTAAGCTTAACATTCTGCATTGTTTAATATTTTCCATTACTTTGAAGATAAACACAGTCATTAATCCAAAAGCTTGGCAAGAGCAATGTTTTGTTGTGAAAAAAAGTCTTGATCACCAAGACTGTGGTAAATATACAAGTGCATAGGAAACTTTGACATATAATGTTTGGGAAAATGGATAAATAATGTTCTTGAAACATATTTGACTGAATGTTTATTCTGTAAATCACCATAACCACTTAAATAAGAAGCTTACAATGATGTTAAGTTATTCTTGAAATAGTCCAAAATAACTTCACATATAATTCAAATTTATTTTCCAGCAATCATAAGACTCAAATCATCCTCTCCAGTAAAACAGTATTTTCTCCAGTGAAGATATAATGTTATAGTTATTTTTTAAAAAGACATATTTGAGAGTAAAAAAAAATCTATTTGTGTGTTTTCTCATAAATTCATTTTTTTGTGTTTGGTGAAAAAATGTAATCTTTAATAGAAATGAGGTTTAAAACTTTGTATTCCTACTTTATGCTAAACCCTCATAATGAGCTGAAACTACCTTTGGAAACAATGCAGTGAAATTCTTGAATGTACTCTTGACCAGCTCCAAATTTGTTGATCATAATTTTAGTGTTTCATCTTTTGTGGTGAAAATGATTTATGTTGTATTTAAAAATTTTTGTGGAACTATTTTACTTAAAGATTTTATGGAAAATTTCTACTAATTTGACAGGTAATATTAATTATCAATGAATTTTCAGATGATTTTACATAAAAAACTGAATTCATAACATCATTATTTGATCTTTTAAACATTCCTAGAGAACATGAGAACAAAATGTAAAATGATTATATATAATACCATTATATTTGAGACATAAAAAGAATGTATATAAACATTTTAAAAGAGTTTCCATATCTATAGCTTATTTCTTTTCTTGCTATTGTGAAAATTTTTTTTCCAGGTTGATCATTAAAGTGAGCCTTTGGATGATTACTTGATGAACACAATAAGAATATACTTTAAGGATAACTAATGTGTCAGACTCTCTGGGTCCATAAACAGGAATAGAAAAGAGTTACCAGCTCTACTTCTAATGAAAATGTCTAAAAACATAGGATCTATATACCCATCTCATGGACTCTTATAAGGAGAATTTCTCTCTGATGAAACTGATTTGACAAATAAAGGACTGAAGTTCATCAATATAAAATAGTGTACTTTCTCAAACCTTGTTTCTCTATTTTTCTTGTTAGATGTCAGAGACAGAATAGAAACCAGTTGTTTAGTATATAAAGGATAAATTGTGGATTCAACTTGAGTCATCTAAGTTTTCTAGCTTTTTATATAATTTAGATTATATTTTCCACCTTTGAGGAAAATGAATTTTGAAAACTTTGAAAATGTTAGCTCAGCCTAAGTTGTACGATGAGGAGACGTTTGTTGGAAAAAGAACTGAATTTACCTTTTACAATAGATTCACTAGGTTCTTTCATGCAATATCTATATATAAGCCATGATGATTCCATGTATCCATGTAGCTTCATTTTATGTTTTCTAATCTACTAATAATGTGTTAGTCAGCTTTTTGACTAGAGTACCTGATGAGTGTCAACGTACAGGAGGAAATGATTACTTTGGGATCATGGTTTTAGGCGTTCAGTCCATGGTCAGTGAAGTCCATTGCTCTGGGTCTGAGGTGAGGCAGAGAATAATGGCACAGGAAGGAGAGAGACAAAGAGATCAAGAGAGAGATGGTGGGGGTGGTTAGAGAATGGCAAGAATCTAGAGAGAGAAAGAGATGCTCAAGAAGCTAGAGACAAAATAAAATACCCAAGGACACACTGGCCAGTGACCTACTTTCTCTAGCCATATTCCACCTATTTTATAGTTACCACCCAGTAATGCATTTAAAGTATTAATCCATCAAATGAATTAATCCACTGATATGGGTACAGCTCTCATAATTTGATCATTTCAACTCTAAACATTCCTGAATTTGCTGAACAACAGATTTTGGGGGTAATAACTCATGGAAACCACAACAAATAATGTGCTAAATATTGAAGATTGAACAGAAGGAATACAGAGAAGACAATTGTAAAGAAACATTTTACTCTTTTTTTCATTGATTGATTTCTGGATTTTTCACTTAATAGCTAGTACTCAGGCAAAAACTGATAGACTGTGGGATCACAGAAAAATAACTTGTTCACTCCAAACTCTTCTTTATCTTAATAATAAAAAAGTACCATGTCTATATAGCTTCTATGATCTTTTCCTGAATAACACTTACTTACACAGTATATTTCCTATGAGATTATCCATTGCAAATAACACTTTTTTTTTCAAACAAGGAAAATAAACACTCTAAAAGGGAGGACTATCTGGGTACAATGGCACATACCTGTAATCCAAATGACTCAGGAGCTGAGGCAGCAAGATTTCAAGTTTGAGGCCAGCCTTGGCAACATAGTGAGACTCTCTAAAATAAATAAATAAATTTTAAAAAATTTTAAATTCTGGAGGTATAGTTCAGTGATAAATTTTCCTTGGATTCAATCCCTTATACAAGAGGAAAAAAGAAAGAAAAATGAAATAAATACAGAACACCTGAGAATGATACATAAACTGGTATATGAACCAAATAAACATAAAAGTTATAAATTATCATGTTGCACTCAGATAACTTCAGCACAATATTAAAGTACTAAAATTATGAATCAATATTGCAAAACTGTTTAAGAAAGCATTAAAATATATTCTAAACAATGCCTACAATCAAATATGAAAAAAGAAAGATATTTTGAAAAATAAAAATATTTTAAAGTATCTCCTGAAATATATACTTGAAGATGTAATCCACTCAAATACATAATAAATCAAAATTAAGGACACATGAACCAATACCTCAAGGAATGAAGAGACTAGCAGAAAATCCTGAATCCAGGTAAAATATCATTAAACCCTAATAATTATAACAACTGGCTGAAAAACAGAATGCATTTTAGTCTTATAAATAAAAATTAATAGATTCAAAAATTTTAAAAGAGGGCAAAAAAATCTCAGTAAACAAACACTGGGTGGGTTGACCTGACAGAGAAAGTTTTAATAGTCCTTCATCATTCACAGCAAGGAAGTACAGAATATTGTTTCATTTCTGTAGCTGATAACTAGAAATAAAAATTGAACCAATGCTATTGAAAGTTGTAGGAGTAATCATTCTTAGAAAAGAACAAATAGACCATAACCTTCTGAATTAGCAAACACAGAAAGGAAAGAGCAAGAAAAATAAGTAAAACAAAGGAAACCTTTGAATTATAGCAAAATTGTTTAGATTTAGATACTTGAACCAAAACCAAACATCTAATAAAAGAGTACATGGAAACTTCACCTAGCCAATATATAATAATAATGCATCCTGATATCTTTCAAAGGGAATAAAATAAATTATAAAAAAATGTGATCAGACAGCTTCATATTTTTTATTAGTATAACTTAATACCCCCCCACCAAATGGAAGAGCTTCAAAATTCAGAAAAAAATAATTTTTAATTAAGCTTTCTATAGTCTTAGGAAGATTATGAAGTTACTGAGAAATATTTGTTCCTTCTTTATAATAGAATTATACATTCCTATCAATGGATCTGTGATTTATGAGTGCCTATGTTGCTATGGTACTGACCACAGATTTTGAGTAAGTGATACACTGTAGCAATGAGGACATGACATGATGAATATGATATTTGCCAGATCTGAATTGGAAGCTTGAAAGGTTATTCATGACTTGATTTGACATCACCCTTGCATTCCTGTTCTCTGCCACGAGAATGCACCTTCTTACAGGAGCTACTCCTTCAGTCTGAATCTTAGAATGAGATATGACAGCAAATGGAGAGCCAAGTTGAGCCTTGCTGAGTCAGACACAAAGCTGATCCATAGTTCTTATGGAGTGTGGGCCAGAAACAAGTATATGTTCTTATAAATCACTGTGATTTGGAGACCTTTTTTTTTTTAACCATATCAAAACTGAAACTACAGACATAAAAAGGATTCTTACTCCTCTGAGTAGGTAGTTTGCTGCATTTTTCTGCTCAGCATACATTACCCCTTTGTTCTGGTGTTAGCATGAAGATTTTTATTTTGTAATTCCTCTTTACCTGAGGTCCATTCAAGTAATTAGGATAATGCTATGCACATTTCCCAACTCCATGAATGGGTATAAGGGTCATGAGGATCTCAACACTTCTTCCTCCTTTGACCTGATTGAGTCAGAAACCTGAACACAAGTCCTTTCAGCCATGAGAGACATGCTCATTAGTTTTATGTCATGAGCTGGTTACCAATATGGAGCAAAGGTTTCTCAAGATTTTCTCTAGACAGCTGTCCAGATCCTTCAGGATCTATCAGGAAAAGACAAATTGTTTTAAAGAGATCAAACATGAAATTAAAATTGAGACATGGAAAGTGACAGAGTTGTGATGATATTATTAAAACCTTAAATACATCCATTGTATTCTTGGAATTTTCTGGAGTAATAAATCTCCTTTTATATTTTAGCCATTTTGTCTGGATATTTTTTATGTTTTTCTCTTAATCAAAGTAATGTACTTTGCTATAGCTCCCGTTTATCTTTTATGATTTGAAATATTAGTGAATGAAGAATAACGAAGACCTTGGATCCAAGAAACAGCATAAAACTCAATGAAAGAGGGCTGAGATTGTGGCTCAGTGGTAGAGCACTCGCCTGACATGTGTGAGGCACTGGGTTCGATCCTCAGCCCCACATAAAAATAAATAAAGGCAGAAAGGGCGAATGGGGTAGTGGCTCAATAGCAGAGTGCTTACCTAGCATGGGTGAGGCACTGGGTTTGAGCCTCAGCACCATGTAAAAACAAAAAATGAGTAAAATAAATAAATAAATATATACATAAACTCAATGAAAGAGGAAAATTCCAAAAACAGCTGTATGCTTGGCAAAGTAATTGATTGCATAGAGGGAAAAGCCATCAAGAAAGCTCCAAGGAGGGTTTTTTTTTTTTTTTTTTAAGAAATTTGTCCCAAGTAAAAACAACTACAACAAATTATTAAGAAACTGGAAGATGTCAATACTTGAAAATCGACGTGTTTGCATTTTTTTTAATTCTCCCAGTATCAGAAAACAAAGATAAGTCACAAATCCTACCATCATTATCTACACAAGAAAACCATCATTTGTAGACTCAAAGGCAATTTTGAGAAGGGGTAGATTATAGGATGGAGGATCCATTTGTTCTTTTTGCTAGAAGTTAAATGTGTTGCCAACACTAAAAGAATCTTAAAATAAAATTAACAAAAATCTAGAAATGCAAAACTCTTCATTTACAAATAAGAAGTTAGTAAATCAAGAAATATAAGTTTATGCATTTTATATTGTAAATATAACTATGCCAAAAGTAATTTAATATTTTGTCCATTTTAATTGTGAACACATTTTGTAAGTTAGCTAAATTCTCATCTATCGTGGAAGAAAGTGAATACATAAGATAAAAAGGAAAGATAAAGTCAATAACAATGAGGCTACATCAAAACCTATCATTTCCAAGTTGCCAGCCTCTCTCAAAACAAATGAAGTCATACATAGTTAAAGTGAATAATTACCTCTTACAAAATGCCTGAGAATGCAGAGGATTAGAAAGAAAGGGAAATTTTACTTTATATTATAAATCATTCCAGATAAACATTTGCACTTGAATTTCTTATTCACTTTAGTGTATTATTTTTGTTTTTATAAGAAAATAGTCTAAACTCAGCTAGTGAGAGTTTTAATTTAAAATAATAATTGAACTATATGCTACAAGCAAGAATTCATACTGCAAAGCAATTTATTGAACATTAAACAAACTCAATAATTTTAAAAGCGAGACCCAAGACTGGAAAGTTCCAATGCTCTCTTCACATGAATTTAGAGTAGAGTGTGAACTCCAAAAGTCATTAGTAAGAAAAGATTTTTTTTAATGGGCAAAAAAAGCATACAGAATAGACAGCAAGTAAGCCCATGAAAATAAATAGCTTAATATCATTATTCATTAGGAAAATTGAAATTAAAACTACAATGATATATTACCATATACCTACCTTTTATAGAAGTTATAAAAGTGAAAGGCTTACTATATTAAGAGTTGTAGATGCAATGAAGTAACTGGACCTCATATACCCTCCTGATTGGAATGTAAAATATTGTAAATATCTTAGAAAATAGTTTGATACTTTCTTACATAGTTAGACACACAATTGCAATATGACCTCGCCTTCCAACTTTGATGTGTTTACCCAAGGATAAGAAAAACTTATGCCCATATTAAAGACATACAACAATGTCCTTATCAGCTTTATATACAATAGTTAAAAACAGAAATTTAGGACTTCCAGAAACATGGTATGAGCTGCTCCTCTGTGATACAAATTATAAAGAACAACACAAACAAAAATTACTTAAGGTTACTGGAAATTGTCCTAAGGACAAAAAAATTAAGAAACATTTCTTCAATACAGTCTTCTAAATGTCCATAATAACAATGGACATTTGAAAAACGTGAGCCACACATGCTCTGTCTTCTCTCATCTCCAGTTCAGTTTGACAGAAGCTCCAATTGGGTGAATGTGTCCAAATAATGAGGTTTGGCCTCTTACCAGGTACGAGTCAAGGACTACAATATCTCCTCAAGAGGCGAAACCTAAGGCACTTGTCACACTCACAGGTTCTGTCCCCAAAAGGATAAAATCTGATTTAGTGCAGCCCAAGGGCTGAGGAATCCCTTCATCCACTCAGACCTTACTCATAGATGGAGGCTCTAACTAGGCAAGGAAGATTGACAATAATGGGATTATTAATAAGCATACTCCTTGCCCCAGCTTGTTCATGGAGGAGTAGAGATTTCATACAAGTAATGAAAATAAACAACAACAACAACAATAACAAAACTGGGACTATCATCCTCACTCAGCACCATACTCGTAAAGTAGGGTGGTCACTCCAAGGAGAATGGTCCAATGTTGCCGCAGTCTGGCTGGGCAAACTAACTGGGGGGCGAGTGACGAGGAACTTGTGAAGGTTGATACAGCAGGAGCGGGAGCCGTTTATTGTAGGACAGGAGGGGTATATATACATAACTGAATACACAGCTTAACTTAATTGACATCATTAGATACAGCAGTCAGTCAGTAAGGAATCTGCACACTTAATGACTCGCTGGTGTTACTTCACAAACCACTCCTTCTGGCAAAGTGCCAGGCGCCATCTTGACTTGTCTGTGGCTCTCAACACAATGTCATCTTCCCATCTCCAAGACAATGACTTAGAATGTAGCCAAGGGAGAAGCAAGACACAAAACTGGAAAGTTGCAATGCTCTCTTCACATGAATGGACTTTATTTAGAGTTCAATGTGGGAAAGTTCAAGTCTAAAGACGATCTCCAAAACTGTGGGGATTAGGAACAGGGAATT